GAGAATTATTAAACAATTGTAAAACACATCGATAAATTTGAAACTTATTATAATCTTTTACCCTGCTTGATGAATAATAAACTACTTCCTTATGAAAGCTATAATAGATGCCAGAAGGACTGGCAATAATTCCTCGATTTTCATTTCCATGGTTTTATTTTTTTCGCACTTCTTTGATGATAAATAATATATGTTTGCAAGAGGATTATAAGGTATTTCTCCGCCTTGTTAGCCTGCCTTTATGGTGTAATGGCCAGCACACTCGGCACATATGTGAGAGATCCAAGGTTCGAGTCCCGGCGAGGACTCATTTTTCAAGTCTCTCAGCATCAAAATTCCTAATGTCTCTACAGTCTTAAATAACTAAATACTACAAACATTATTAGTGACTAAACATTTTATAGGCGTTGAAAGCTATTGGTAAGAGGATAAAAACTGGGTAAACTCCCTTGTAATAAATAGTAGCTCCTATCTAGCAATCAAAAATGAAACTAAATTTATTAAATTAGAATGATAGTGCCTTCATCAAGAGTAAAAGTTCATAAGCTAATTAAATCCATTAAAGATTAATTAGTCCATAAGCTAATTAATCTTTAATCGTGGAACTTAAGAGCAGGATCATTATGTTATTGAATAAAAATAATAAATTGCGAAACATAATGGAATCATATGCTCTAGTTTCGGACGTGGTACATTATGTACTTTCATTGATGTAATCCTTATATAGAAAATGAAAATTGTGTTCCATATCTGTATCTCTCTCTCTCTCTCTCAATCATTGCTCAGATTTCACAAAAAAATGCAAAATTTAAAATTAAAATTCCTTAAGTTTTGGGCCCACCAGCGGCCGAGCGGTAAAGTCGCTGAGCACTGGTAGTTCGGTCTGAGGTTCGAATCCCGCGAACGGGCTGGCTGCATGGGCGTTCGTGGTTTTCCCCATGTGTAACGTGTATACGAGCCATTTCCCCTTAGAAAGTCCTCCACGAAGGCATCCCTCCCCGTAGGCAGATAGCGCTCAAGGCTTTGCCATAATCACACACACACACCTTAAGTTTTGATTATCAGAATTTTATCATTTGTAAAATTAACAAGAAAATATAACTTCCCTTTATGTAAAATCAGTATTTCGTTATACACAATTATGATAATGTAGTCAAACTGATTATTGTATCGATCTATTTATATTAAGACTAATAACAATATGATTTGAACTAATAATAACTATTGCACTGAAAACTAATATTTTTAGGTCAATAATCCTGACATCAAAGCGAAGATCCCCCTACACATTCTTCAGCTATCATTATCATTAGCTTTGTCATATCATTAAATTATGCTTGATTAATTCCTGAACAATAAACCTTCAACTAATTAATCATAGCCTGTTTTATATTATAGAAAACTCAAAATTGGTATTTTGATGCAAATAAACTAATATGTGAAAATAAAAATGTGTAATTTGAGTTTTTAAAATTTCACAATATATCAAATCAGAAATAACGTGAAGTTCATCACAATTTTTATTCAAAAGTTAAACAGATATCATAATAAACATAATTACACGATGAAAAAGTGAATGTTTCACATGATGAAAAAATATTAACAAAGATAACTTAAGTAACTCGCTTTTTTAAAAATATTAGTTAATTTTTCTTTAATTATATAAATAAAATATCTTAAAAATTACTAATCTTTTAAATATTAGTTCAAAACTGCATTTTACTTGATTCACATCATGATGTTTATGAAAAATATACAAAGTACTTCTTTAAGAGGAGAAAAAAAAATAATTGAACACATGAAATGCAATGAAAGTAAGATCATTTCTTGCCGTGAAATATAGATATACTGATATACTTTCCTTTTTATACATCAATTATATACTATTTTATCAACTAAGTATTAGTGCAGCTTCTATATATATATATATATATATATACTATGTACAATATGAGTAGCATATGTTATTGCTTCAAGAATATATTTCGTGGTATTTACTGAAGTATGCCAGCCGTCACATCATTGAGTATTCTTAACATTTTACTATATGAATGAATAAATTTTAGGAACATACAGGAGTAACATTCGTTTGAGATATCAATTTGTTTTTAACTTTTGAACCAACTTTTTTTTCCAAATGGAAATTTATTTGGCAATTCGTGAATAGAAGATTAATTATATTCTTTCGAATGCAAAGGTTTAAAAGTCTTATAGATAATTTTAACTTCCGATTGAAATATTTTGCGACTGCAGAAGTAAGATCTATTAAGAGAAACATGATTTTGCAAAACTGATTAAAGATATTTGCGAAGTATGTGGTGGCGAACTGAAAAAAAAAATTAAAATCTTCAAATGGAGTGGGATAGACAAAGAAAATAATTGCTGAATTTTAAAGGGTTTTGGAACCATTTTTATTTGGTAGCGAAATATCTGTTGATAGAATTCGATTTAATTTCCAAAGGTAGGCAATTTGCACATAACATCTACACAAACTGTTAAAAAGTAAAGAAGTAAAAGAAAAAAGTAAAGAGGATTTGTAAAACACAATGATATTCCAACTTCAGTTTTCTTTTATTGCTACCAAATAAGACGGAAAAAGACTCAGAGAAGGAACACATTAGAGAGGATTTTGCTTAAGTTGCTTTAAATGCTATTTTCAGATATTCATGTTTTCATTTCAAATCGATAGTATTTCAAGACTTCGGAATTCTCGTTAACTGAATACGTGTTTGCAGTTCTAAAATACTTAATCGTTAAGTTAAAGGGATGCATAAGAACTTCAGCGGAAAAACACGTATGTTATAAATACAATGCAGGGAAATATTTAAATTTTAATAGTGTATAACTGAGGAGAAAATAAACTTGTTAATCATAATTCTCATACTATTTCAGTTATAATGCTATGTCATAGTCTTTCAGCAGTAATCCAGTATATTATCTCCAATATACAGCCACATGCAGCACTTCTTAATTTTACTTTAATAAGTTTAACAACAAACATATAATTTTATTCTTTATTCTAACATTTAAATCGTGTACTTAATAATATTTTAGTTTCTAAAATAATACTCGATATCTCACACATCTCTACATAACACATATACCTCCTCTATTTCGGCAGCATTCTTTATCAGAGATATCAGGTGTCATTTACATAGGAAATATTACAAAGAAGTAAACTTTTATAAATATTTTTAAACTATCCGCAGAAAAATTAAATTCCCTGAGATTAAAAAAAAATATGAAAAAAAAATAAGATTGAAAGTAATATTTAAAATCCAAAATTTGCCAGTAAAAAAATTTCTGGATTTTTAATTAAAAACTATTCCTTCATATTTTAAACTGAAATATCATATTTTTACAGTTTTCTGAGATATGAGTTCAAACAATTCTAGAAGTAGGGGCTTAATTTAACTTTGACATTTGAATTTGCTTCTTAAGCTGATAATCTAAATTTATTTCTTTAATATTCGATGAATATATTATCGGTTAAGATGGAAATTGGAAACAGAAGTTTTTTAACCGCTTAGGATGTTTGTAATTTGCCATTGTTTGCTATCTATTGTTTTTGTAGAGTATAATATAGTAGATGTATTGCATTTATCAGTTTGTAAACTTATCCAGATTTCACTAATCACAGTTATATTGATATATTAAAATAAGCTAACTTTTGTAGCTATAGTTAGATGAATAAGATACAAAACAATTAAGGCAATCAATATTTATCGCGCATCTTTTGCAGCGTAGACTTTTAAAATTTATTTTTATAATTTTTCTCTTATTTCAAATGCTGTTTGTTCTTAACAAGTATCTATTTAAGAATACTTTTACAACACTTTCAGCCATTTAAAAGCTTCCTTTACATATCCATTAACATAAATTTTTGTATAACTGTAATCCAAATAAGAAATTAGGTAAGTAATTTTTTTTTTTAAAAAGAAACAAATGTGTCGCACAAAAATTGTATATTAATTAAAAAGTTTTCCAGCTGATATGTCACGAAATTTTTAAATAGATATATTAAAATTTTGAATAGATTTCAACTTTTAACTTGCGCGGATGCGAAATTTCTGCACTTAAAGTATTGAAATTTAAATGGAGAAACTAATTAGTGTATATTGGAGATTTGTGTGCCTCTAGAGCACGTGATCACGTCTTGGTAAAGTCTGTGTAATACAGTAAACGCAGATTTCAAATCTTATACTACATATGCGGCTTAAGTGTTTGTCGCCGATAGTTTATTAGTTGCTTGCGTAACTATAAATTGTTTTATTCCCCGTGCAGTGCAGCGCGTGACGAATATTATGAGAAAGCTAAGCCGGAAAAATTAAAAATACAAGAGCACGTGCATTTAACCTTTAATAAATAAATTTAACATCTATATATAACAGAATTCGGAAATATGCAACCGGCAAAAACCGGCAACAAAGTAAAAACAAATAAAATGAAAAAAATAAATATCTTTATTATATGCGGCTTAAGTGTCTGTTTGTCGCCGATAGTTTATTGGTTGCTTGCGTAATTGTACTAGCCAATGGGTGAAGTTGCCACGGCACAGGGTTGCCGTTTCAATTGAGACGTAGACTATTTCCTGTAAAACTTGCCTTTGCTATGATCATCAATAAGTCTTAGGGCCAAACGCTTAAGCGTGTTGGCATTTTTTTACCTGAGCCTGCATTTTGACACGGTCAACTTTATGCTGCCTGTTCAAGAGCTCGTGAAAGAACGGACGTGAAATTAAAAATAATTGATGGTCCTCTGCAAGGCGAGCTTAAAAATTATGAAAAGATCTACACAAGAAATGTTGTGTACAAAGAGATCTTTGACATGTGACTTAACCTTTTATTATTTAAATCACCTTTACTTATTGAGCTAGAGGTGGCTCTTAAGAAATGTACCGCCAGTGGTTTCCTTCATTGCACTTTACTTTAAGCAATTAAGTAAGTAGAAGGGGGAAACCTCGTGGGGCAGTAAGCAAAGGGGCGTCCTCGCCGCCTGCCCTGGGTAATTCAGTTTAAATTAGCAGACACCTTTGCACAAATCATTTTAATTACAATTTATAATATCTAGAACAGCGGTCATTTCGTATGACCGCCGGGCTTTCTAGTTAGGATATATATGTCAATGTAATAATCATAATTGAGTTAATAATAATCAAATCACTGTGTTGGGATTGTGTGCCCAGTTAACTGTATTTTCATTTGAAGAAGGTTAAGAAACTATAAATTGTTTACTATATAAATCAAATAAAAATAAAATTTTTCAAAATTGGAAAAAAGTCCATATTCTTTTAAGAGTTAAAATTTAACATGCAAGCCAACTAAATATGAATTCTTGAAAAATGGAAAAAAAAAAAAAAATCAAATGTTTCCATTATGATAATTTTTATTCAGCATTTTAAAAGATGAATGATTAAGAAATGTACTTTCACTTTACTTTTCCAAAATAACTAGTAAACAAGATATTTAACTTTTGTTTTAATTAGTGTAAAATGTACTTATTTCTTCTAAGAATTTTACATTATTTTGTTTTCCGAAGCCTTTTCTCCGTATTTCAGTGATTTATTTTGGTATGATACGTATTTAATTTTTTAATATTGGTCACCGCTTTTATAAATTTTATTCTGATTAGTATTTGAATAGATTTAGTTTTAAGTTCTCTTATTAATTATAGCTCATATTTTAATTATCACACGTACAGAGTTAACTTTTCGTTTTGCTTGAGTGTCTATAATGTGCTCAATGAAGGGTTTAGAAATTTTTGAAATGTAATTAACTTCTTTTCATATCTCAGTAATGTGTCCAACACAAGACTTCGAAATTTCAGCAAATTCTTAGAAAAACATCACTTCTCAAAGTGCATATACCTTTCGAATAAAATTATTTATTTCTGTGATGAGTTTTATGACAGAATTCGCTACTTGAAGAGTACTAAAAATGAACAGGTTGAATTTACATGAAATGAGCTCATCGTCTTTTTATGAATTTGAAATTCTTAAATACAAAAGATAATACACATAATCGTTCAGTCAAATTTCACGCAAGTGATAAATTTGATCACATTTTTATGTAAAATATTTCCCCGAAACTTCATGAGATATATTCTGTATGTACACAACTCATATTATAGAGAACAATCTCCATGCCTAATGAAGTAGCTGTTACTCAATTCTACAAAATATGCCTCTTTTGCTTGTGACTTTGCCTCCGACGCACTAGCTGTGGTCATTGCATTAAACAGCGTCTGATTATTTAATGCCTTAATCACATTTTTCTTGTGGAAACTACACAAAAGAGAGGTTTTTCCTCTAGAGTTTGTTGTATTCCTTGATTACTTCAAACAAAGTCAATTTTTGATAATTTTTATCTCAGCATATAGGCGATGATAATGAATGAGGTGGTGCCAAGTAAGAGGGCCTGTCTACTCCCTGATGATGGCCAGCAGCTGCCGCTGCTGCCATATGAGCAGCAGCAACGTTTTCGCTGGCCCATGGTTGCAATGTCTGTAGAGCATGTAAAGAAGAGTTACTTAAACACACTGGATCACGAGCTTGGTCATAGATGGACTTGGAAACGACTTCCGCTTGTAGCGACATCATAAGTCTATTGGCAGCTTGGCGTTCTGCTTCACGTTCTTCGGCCGTCTGCCTCCTAGAAAAGAAGAAAAAATTAGTACTAATACAAAATAATTTTCTTAGGAATCACAATATTATTGTGTAATCAAAATGCCTTAAAATAGGAGTAATAATTTCATTTAAAACTTTTGCCGGAGAAGTACTTAGAAAATCATTGCCTCTTGTGATTAGTTTAGACTTGTGACTAGTTACACTAGGGTCAGATTTACGAAACTGGAGACTTGGGACAAAATTCTTATGGAGGTCTCCCTCTAATTCTTCAGCGTAACAGATATCATTATATAAAGTATTTCATAAAATAATTTATCAGTAATAAATAATAATACTTAAATGTTTTTTTCAATTTCAAGTTATAAAATTCTTGCTGTATGATTCGCTTTCACGGCTTCAGTTTGTGATGTTTCGTGCAGATGTTAATCTGCACGAAACATAAACTACGTCGCATTTTATTTTGTGAAAATTAGACTAAGTTAATTAATCAAGGTCACACTGGGCTATTGAGCTAGAAATGTAAACTGGGGAAAAAAGAAGCTGAGAGATTTTAGAAATTTTTAAAATCTGGGGGAAAAGGGAATGCTAAAAATTTTGTATTTAATTTGGCAAACCTAGGATTTTACAAAAAATACATAAAATTTGACAATTTTAAATACTATAGGAGGATCTGTAGACCTTCAGAAAGTTGATGAGTAAAACAGCAAAAATCAGGCTGTGCTTCAAGTTGTCCACAAGACGTAACCACAACCATATATTTTAAGCAGAAACATTTTCAACAATTAAAAGGCTTAATAATATTATTTAAATATTTTAATAAGATGTATTATGATTATAACACTCTCACTTCACTAACAATACGTACTGTACTTTCTAATATCAGCTCTCTTAGGGTGAGAAGTCTTTATTTCTCGAAGTGCATCTGATATTTTTTCATTAAAATTTGCTGCAGTTATAAAATGCTTCTTGTGATTTTCTAAGGTAAGTGTTAGTAGCCTTCATTGATCTAATTTATTGCGATCTTCCTAATTTTTGTCTGGCTTTAAATGTTTTCCAACAGACATATCCATAGTTTGTTTAATACTGACTTCTGTGCAATAACTTGTTTCAAATGTGCTGTAATAATTAATTTAAGTTTATAGGTATTTTCTCCCTCCTTTCCACATGCCTTCGTGAAGTAACTGGAAGCAAGCTCGACACGTATTCGGGAGGTCCGGAGCTCAAATCCCGGAGAAGATATTAAACATTTTTCGCGCTGCTCCGTTGATGTAACCTAATGACAGTTTCTATATATCTCTTTTATACCCTTTATCTATGTACGATATTCTAATAGTCTGTCACCAACTTCAGTCTGTCATCCTTTAATTAAGTTACCTTCTTCGTATAAATGAAATAAGGATATTAATTAACTTAATAAATGATGATTTTCATTCATGCTACAGATTTCAGAGACGCATTGTTTTCTAGAAAAAAGGCAAAAGCATTTTCACTCATTTTCCCGCAGACAAGCATGTAGCTAGTTACATTTTAAATAGGGTGTAAAGGCATTACTATTTCAAGCGTTTTTCGATTGATTGGTAACGAGTCAAACACATACATTATAAGTTCATATATTAATTCATTATATTATTTTCTTACTTCCCCTGCCAACGATGTAAATTAATAATTTAACCAATAACATTATAGTGTAAAATACTTCTGAGTTAAATATAGAAGTTATCTTTACATTATTAAGAATTATATTTTTTCAACTTAAGTTCTTTTATAAAAAAGGCAGTTGCTATCAGTACAAAAGATAGACCATTATTAAATGGAAAAAAAAACTCGTTAAAGTGAAAATCCCACTGAGAAGCAAACAATTTCAAGGGTATTTATTATAAAGAAACCGTACTTATTTTTATAGCAATAAAATAGAGGTCTAGCATCAGCAAGACTCTCAAATTTCTTTCAAATAAATAAAACTGCTAAGAGTAGTAATTGAAAGCATATAATTGCCTCTAATATGTAATAAGGGATGTAGACACAAATCCATGTCACACAGGCTGTAAAAAATATCTCCTACAGAGAAGTTTACGATGCCGCTTTGTCAGAATTATTTTAACTACTATGGTTTTCGCCCCACAAGGTCTTATTGTTCTTTGAGCTTTTATGCGGACGAAATTTAGGTTTTTATAACTCTATTTTACGTGTCGTGCGATACATTAGCAATAGGTGGGCTCTTATACTAGGTTTTTTTTTTTTTTTTTTTTTATTAAAAAGCTGATAGTTCTGTAATGAAGCATGTAATTGGACTATTATGCATGAGTATCCAGTTACGGTGGTTAATTAGTCTTAAGTAGCATTTTTTCTACCTTCTGAGATACTTACTTATACTTTTATAGCCTTTCAAGATGGTCTAATAATAAAATGTGTATGATCACAGTATGCTTCCCTTATCAGCAATATTTCGTATTTACGCTGTTTTGGTTAATATCTTAAAATAATAATATCAAATAAAATAATCTATGTAAAATAAAAAGCATTCAACTAGAAAGATTTCAGATTTCACATGAGAAAAAGAAAAGTCAATATTTTAAACCCCACAAATTTTATAAATTCGAAGAAAAAGAACATTTTTGCTCATGATTATTTTTAAAATTTTATAAAATCTGTATTTTAAGCACCACCAAATGCTGAACCAACCTTTTTTTTTTTTTTTTTTTTTTTTGAAATATTTGACAATTTTCATTTTTAAATATTTCATTCTATGTGTATTAACGAACCGCGTAGTGGTTAAGGAAGCTTACTGCGATACCAAAGGGCCTAGGTTCGAATCCAGGAAAAGGCACAGAAGTAAATTACCAGTTACTTCATCATAAGAGTTAACGCGGCCGCTATTAGGCGTTTCCATAATAAAAAGACTTGCCTGTGTCCTTTGTAAAAGCTTGAAAACGCTAGTGCTTGCCGTAAAAAAAAAGTTCATTGATTTGAATAAAAAGCTTCAGAAAAGTATAATTTTTATAATTAATATCATCTTGCTTAATATTTTTCTAAAATAGTTAACAAAAATTGCAAAACATACGGAAAAAAAAAAAAAAACAAAAAAAAAAAAAAAACAAAAAACAAAAAACAAAACAAAAAAAAAAAAAAAAAAAAAAAAAACAAAAAAAAAAAAAAAAAAAAAAAAAAAAAAAAAAAAGCGCGCCTATAGTTTAAGTTTTTTTTTTTGGTTGGGGGGGGGGGGGAGGGGGGGGGGGGGGGGGGGGGGGGGGGGGGGGGGGGGGGTGGGGGGGGGGGGGGGGGGGGGGGGGGGGGGGGGGGGGGGGGTTTTTGGGTGTGTTGGGGGTGGGGGGGGGTGGGGGGGGGGGGGGGGGGGGGGGGGGGGGGGGGGGTTTGGTGCACATAATAATTCTTTAAAATTTTTCATTTTAACCTACCGGCTTATTGTAAGTAGTAATCAGGAAAAGGCACAGAAGTAAATTACCAGTTACTTCATCATAAGAGTTAACGCAGGCCGCCTATTAGGCGTTTCCATAATAAAATGACTACCGCCTGTGTCCTTTGTAGTGGCGAAAGCTTGAAAACGGCTAGTGCTTGCCGTAAAAAAAAAGTTCATTGATGTTGTAAATAAAAAGCTTTCAGAAAAGTATAATAAATTTTATAAATTAATTCATCATCTTGCTTAATATTTTTCAAAGCAAAAGTAAAATAGTTTGTTTTTAAACAAAAAATTGTACTCTTAAAACATACCTAATTATTTTTTTGTTAGCATGCGTATTTACATACTGAAGGAAAATAAACAAAAACCAAATTGTGTATATATCAAAATATAATATCTGCAACGAAGTGCACAGAATACAATAAAAATGCTATAAAGAAAATATAAAGCAAGAATTCTGGAATTCCAACACGTAAGGAGTTGGAGTATTTAATTATGGCAAAGCACACTAGGGCTATCTGCCTAAGGGGAGGGATGCCTTCGTGGAAGACTTTCTAAGGGAAACTGGCTCGTACACACGTTACACATGGGGAAAACCACGAAAGCGCCCATGCAGCCAACCCGTTCGCGGGATTCGAACCTCGGACCGAATTACCAGTGTTCAGCGACTTTACCGCTCGGCCGCTGGTGGGCCGTAAGAAAGGAAAGTGGCACATGCAAATGCAATTTAAAAGTATACCAGATTAGAAATTTCATAAAAAGTAAATATATTACAAAAAAAACACATAGATAATGTATATATATATATAAAGCTATTTACCATTTGTTGCAATTTTTTGTACATATCATGTTTTTTTGTAGTATGTTTTATTTTTACAACAGTCCTTTTTTAATTCTTAAAGCGTTAAAATTTATTAATTTTTTTCTAACCCGTTTTTATTACTAAGCCGTCTCAGGTTGTAAGATTAATCTTTTGTTTTTACGAGTTTGCTTTTACTACTTTGTTATTGTTTCTAGATTTTGAATGATTTTACCTTTTTTGTTAAGGAACTATAGAGTCAAATGAATTTTTTAGCATAAACTTTTAAATGTTCCTCTTAATTCTAAATTTTTTAAAAAAATTTGAAGCTCAATGCGCAAAATTCTTGACAATTAAGGTCTCTCTAATTCATGTTGTCTTGCTACTTATATATATATATATATATATATCATGGAGGTAGGAAAGGGAGGAGGGGGCCATTCCGCGCTAGAAGTGAAGCACTGCTTTGAAGCTTGGGTCACCAGACTGGGTGTTCTTTGTTTACATTCAGAAGCTCGCTTGACAAGATTCTGATAGTATTTCGACACACGATAGTTCCATAGAAATCGAAAAAGGGACACTCTCGCATGAAAGAAACATTCATAGTGTGATGGATAATAGCAATTTGTATAGTTTACTGACATTTACGCAAAAATCACATCTTGGTTATTTTTCGATAACTAACAACAGCGATTTTGATTATGAATTTGTTTATAAAATTCTAAGCTGTTGCACTACAAAAATATGGATTTTAAGAAAATTGCTAAAAGAGATCTGCCAAAATTTATTTTCTAGAACATTTGAAAAG